GATTGAAGATATACATGGGAGCTATATCCGAATCTGAACCGATTTTGTTACAGATCATTGTTGTCGAATGCATATTACGAATGTGAGGGCCTTAAACGCCAAATCGGATGAAACATGTATATGGGAGCTATAGTTATATCTGAACCGATTTTCATCAAATTTGATGTACTTTCTTCTAGACTGAATCCGGTCGGATGTGCCAAAAAGCACATCATTTGGTGCACAATTAACCAAAAGTTGAAGATGTGTGGGAGCTACATCCAAATCTGATCCGATTATCACCAATTTGAATAGGGTTCGGCCTTAGGCCAAACAAATATTGTTTGGAAAATTTCATCTCAATCGGATAATAAATGCGACCCCATTTTGTTCACAATAATACATGGACAGGGGGACGGACAAACAAAGTGTTTCTATAAAGGTCCTCACAAGTAACTACATGTGTCTTCTTTTTAGCTCTTTCTTCATAATCTGCTGGATTTTCCGCGTAATTATTGAAAAATCGAATTTTGTCGGACCTCGTATCTCCTTTAAACTAATTCGGGGGAGCTCTTCGGCCAAGACAAGAACCCGCCCCAAGCTATTTTTATTTCAGGCTAGATTTTTCTTAAATTAGGCACCAAGGAAAACCGTTGCAAAATATGTATATCGACGTACAAAAATGAGATATACCGCAAATGTCAAACTTATGGAGGGGACGAAATCCGAGACATAATAATCTATGCCTATCCATCTGAGGGGACGAAATGTCAAACCAAAAAGGGGAAGGCATACGCTACAATAGGTCTGATTTACTGCTTGTAAATGAATTGTCAAACATCTTGGAAAAGGGCACCGTTCACCCTCAAGATTCCACTGTGTCCGAAATACAGACGTGCTCCTGTGCAGGACGAAGTCTATATTAGGGATACGGGTTTTTTTTTCCTAAAAACTACACCAAAATTATTTAATCTCATCCAAGACAAGAATTCGTTCCAACCAAGGCACCAAGGAAAGCCGTTGCAAAATATGTCTCTATATTCAATATCGTTATTTCGTCTATTAATCGACCTAGCGATAGAATAAGGAAAGGCTAGTACGACATCATTGGAATAGATTAAGAGAAGACCGTCAGAGGGAGAGGCCGGGTATTCACAAGAATATATGTTATAGTATCGAACGAAGGAGGGATCCCTAAGAGACACCTGCCAACGCTTTCTAAAGATTCGTTCACTTACCTTTTCACGAAAAAGTCATTCCTACTGAAACTGCAGGTTTGATTATCAAAACCAAACGACCAAATGTTATGTAAACTTCCATCATGCCGAACAGAGTCAAGAGATTTAAAAACACAAAATATGGATAAGCCAACTAAACCGGTGAAGACCGTAGAGAAACTGGCGCAAAACAGAACTCACTATGCCGTAGAATCCTTCTTTCTTTCTCGGGTTTTCTAATCCTACTCAACATAAAGAGTTCGAATAATTTTTAAAAAGGCTATCGAAGGGTAATAGACCTGTACTTACCACCCCCATTACACATCACAGCTACCACTGTGTCTAGCAAATTAAACGGCTAACGAAGTAGTTTTGCCTGTTTTTCGTTACTGAAAACTATGAGACAGGGGCAGAATTGAAGGGAACAACACAACGACTATCCTATCGACAGAAACACTGACAGCAACAACAGCAACAAAATAAGAACGTCGTCTAACGATAAGCGGATAAGCTAGCGGTGCTCAATAATAGAACGGAAACAAAGTAAAAAGGATTTACAACAACAGCACCACCAACAACAATGACAACAGCTTGTTGTTCATTCAGTGGAAATCCCTTCGTTTGCAAAAATTAACACAAAGACATTGACAATGTCGACACGATAACAAAGATCACAAATGAGCGGAAGACAAGAGAACGATAGAAAAAAAAAAAAAAAAAAAAAAAACAACAACGAAAAACGAAGAAAGAAACAACGAAAGCACAACAAAAAGTAACAATAAAGGATTTGAAGCAATTAAGCTTTTGTTCGACGCTGGCTGACGCAACACAAAAACACAAACTAAAATGCATGAATAGCAAATTAATTAAGTTTCCTTGAGGTTCAAGCGTTCAAATTACTATTCAATAATTCTGTTCACCTTTATGGTAGCTACGGCTAAGGCTCTTCTAGCTGCTAGCTTTGCAGCATCAATGTTGTTGGGGCAGTGGCGGAAAATAATAATGAGATAAAGTTTAAAGTGAAGCTTTGCGTAGAAAAGTTGTCAATGTCAACCATTGATAGAAACTGTAAACAAAAAGGAGTGCAAGGATAAATTTAAACCAAAAGACTAATAAAATACTTAACAATAGATTAAGGGATTACGGAGAAAGATTAGATCCGTTTCTAATCTCAATGTTTGTAAATCCGGAACATATATCCTCGATCCGCTTAAGATTTTATGTCGATTAACTCTATTCGAACTGTCTGCCCATTTGACCGGACTGATGTAGGTGGACAAAACGTTACTCAAGTGCATTTTATGTTCTAAGAATTTTCACGATTTTTTATAGACTCCAAATAATTGTACCACCCCACTTAAGGTATATTTAAAGTTTAAGTCATATTTTTCAACCGAATTGAATAGAATCCTTACAAAAAATATGCAGATTATCCCATATAACAGTACTACCTGATATTCGGTGTTTGGATGATTTTAGACACATTTTCTAACTTTTTTATACCCTACACCACAAGGTGGCCAGGGTATAATGTCTTTGTGCATTTGTTTGTAACAGGCAAAAGGAAACGAGATAGACCCATAGATCCTTTTGATGATCTGCATAGAATCACATTCTGAGTCGATTTATGCATGTCCGTCCGTCCGTCCGTCTGTCCGTCTACGCATGTATTTTTGTAAAAAAAGTACAGTTCGCATTTATTGCCCTATCCAGATGAAATTTTGCACAAGTCATTTGTTTGGCCCAAGGACGAACCCTATTGAAATTGGAGATAATCGGTCAAAATTTAGATATAGCTCCCATATATATCTTCATCCGATTTGCCTCTTATTGTGCACAAACTTGTAATATCAGTCCGAATAGTATGGAATTTTGTCCGTACGATCAGATTGGACCTGAAAACAAGTATGCCAAATTTGATCGAAATCGGTTCAGATATAGCTATAGCTCCCATATATATTGTTCATCCGATTTGTTATTTTTGTCCACCGCCGCCGTAATATGCACTATGCAACAACAATATTTGGGGAAATATATCAAATTCAGCTCAGAAATATATTTGCTAAATTTTATTGAGATCGGTTCTGATTTGGATATAGCTCCCATATATAACTTTGTCCGATTTACTTTGAAATTTGGCACTTACGACCGAATTGAGTCTAGAAGCTAGTATGTCAAATTTGGCGAAGATCGGTTCAGATATAGCTATAGCTCCCATATATACTTTTCATCCGATTTGTCATATTTGTTACCCACAGCCGTAATGTACCGTCCGTAACAACGATATTCAGGGAAGTATATCAAATACAGCTCAGAAATATTTTTGCCAAATTTTATCGAGATGGGTTCCGATTTGGATATAGCTCCCATATATATTTTTATCCGATTTCAAATTAATTGTGCACCAAATGGGCAATACAAGTCCGAATTTAAAAGATACAAATGCTTCGGCATATTTAGTCCTTTGAACTTTAAATTATAATTATAATCATAGCGTGTATGATCGAATTCTCCCATAAAAACTTTTAATTGTTATGCGGAGTTCTCCAAAATTAGCAAAGTGGTGTAGGGTATCATAAAGTCGGTCCCGCCCGATTTTAAGGCTGTCTTTACTGGTTTTTAATTTGGTATTTAGAGTTTGCAATAGCTGCTGTCCTCTCAGGCAGATAATTGTCTATGCAGGTTCATGTTTTCGTACAGATTGTTTCTAGCCACATTTTTATACTCTACAACACAATGTCGTCCGATTTTTGGAAAATATTTAGTTTTTATGTTAATAAAACAAGTAAAAAAGTATACGTTTGTTTTGCCGACAGATGTATACCCTCAATGTTCGATTAATTTAAAATATTTTGACTTCTGTAATGAATTTTAAAACTCTTGACCCTCTATGGAGTGGGTTTGGAAAGAATGGGTCAATATTGTCCACTTCGTATCGGACCTAAATAATGTGTATATATATATATAAATAATATTCGTCATTTATTCTGGATGCAGTTTTTTCTGTACATGGGAGCTCTAGCTATATCTGAAACGATTTTCTCCACATTTGATTCGGTTTGATGTGCCAAAATTCAGGTCATTTGGACTTATGCTGGCCATTTAGTGCTCAATTAACCTGAAATCGGTTTAAGATATATGGAAAGTGTATCTAAATCTGATGCGATTATAACCAGTTTCAATAGAGTTCGTTCTTGTTTGGAAAATGTTCACAAGAATACATGTACAGACGGTCGGAGAGAGTCACTGACTGACATGCATAAATCGACTTAGAAAGGGATTCTATGAAGATCCTCAAAAGTAACTATCGCTCTATCTCGCTTCTTTCTCCAAGTTACAACCAAATGCACAAAGGCATAATACCCTTACAGAGATATAGAATTTAAATTTACAATATGTAATTGTGTTAGGTTATTAACGAGAATTAATTAAAATTTCAAAAACATTATCGCTGCCACATATTTTTTTTCTTAATCGGATTATTCATTAGAATTGGATGTCTGAAAAAAGATTAAACTCGCATTTCAAATTCAAAACATTTACTTTGTTCTGTTTTCTATACAAGCAATTTGAAATAAACAAGACTAACAATTTCAAATGATGTAAATAATCGACATTGATTTTGTTGTTGCATGCGTAATTCAATCATCATTATCACTATCATCATCGTCACCATCATCATTATGAAGAATATGAGAAACCCATGAGTGGTTTCAAATGTGTGTCACTGTCATCATCATTATTCTGTGTAAACATTTGGTGACTTGATAAGAGCCCCGGTCAGCTGTGGTTGATATTGAAATTATCAAAAAGCCAGATTAATTTTAAAAATAATGTATTAAACCAGCTGAATATTTCTATAAATGTAGACAAATTCGAAATTTTCAAAACAGTATCCGATTTGAATTCAAACGTAAAAGTCCGAGCTTATGATGGCAAAGTTATTTGTAAGTGGAAAGAAAATGTGAAATTATTAATTTCTTATATTTTTATACCCTACCCTACAAGGTGGTCAGGGTATTATGTCTTTGTGCATTTGTTTGTAACAGGCAAAAGGAAACGAGATAGGCCCATAGTTCCTTTTGATGATCTGCATAGAATCACATTCTGCGTCGATTTATGCATGTCCGTCCGTCCGTCCATCTGTCCGTCAGGACGTCCGTCTGTCCATGCATTTTTGTGAACAAAGTACAGTTCGCATTTATTACCCGATCCAGATGAAAATTTGCATAAATCATTTGTTTGGCCCAAGGAAAAACTCTATTGAAATTGTAGATAATCGGTAAAAATTTAGATATAGCTCCCATATATATCTTCGTCCGATTTGCCTTTTATTGTTCACCAAACGTGTAATATCAGCCCGAATAATATGGAATTTCGCACATATAACTTGAAAATAAGTATGCAAAATTTGATCGAAATCGGTTCAGATATAGCTATAGCTCCAATATATATTGTTCATCCGATTTGGTACTTTAGTCATCCGCAGCGGTAATATGCACTTTGTAACAACATTATTTGGGGAAATATATCAATTACAGCTAAATTTTATCGAGATCGGTTCAGATTTGATATAGCTCCATATATATCAAAAGGGCAATTTAAGACCGAATTTAAAGGATACAAATGCTTCGGCATATTTTGTCTTTTGAATTTTAAATTATAATTATAATCATAGTGTGTATGATTGAATTCTCCCATAAAAAGTGGTGTAGGGTATCATAAAGTCGGCCCGCCCGACTTTAAGACTTTCTTTACTGGTTTTATTATTAATTTATTTATATTTTCTTTATATTTTACTATTTAATTTATTATTTTATTTTTTCATTCTCATTAATAAATTAGGTTATTGTTCTGTGTGCATTGTTTGCCTATGCCATGGCACGACCACGCGGTTATGGTGGCCATAATGATGGTGGTTATGGCGGTGGTCATGGTGCTGGCGTTGGTGGTGGCCACGGTGTCGGTGGTCATGGTGGACACAGTTCAGGCTATGGAGGCCAACAAGGTGGTTATGGCGGTCACAGCTCTGGTTTCGGTGGCCAACAAGGCGGTTTTGGTGGTCAACAGGGCCATGGTCATGGTCACGGCCATAATTCCGGTTTTGGTGGTTCCCACGGCGGTCATGGTGGACAACATGGTGTCGGTTCCCAAGGTGGCGGTTATGGTGGACAACATGGTGTCGGTTCCCAAGGTGGCGGTTATGGTGGACAACATGGTGTCGGTTCCCAAGGTGGCGGTTATGGTGGACAACATGGTGTCGGTTTTGGTGGCCAACAAGGTCATGGAGGTTATCGCCAACACGGTTATTAGATAATTACCACATACAAACGTATGAATTCGATATGTGATTAAGACTGGGAATATGATGTATAATAAAACAAAAATAGTATTTAAAATATGTAGACTTTTGATTTAATTGAGTTCTATAATATGTGTAGCACATTTTTAATGGAAAAAAACAAGTATACAAAGGCTATAGTCGTGCGGGCCGACCATGTGATACCCTACAACACTACAATATGTTAGAAGCCGCCTTATGTCCAAATCCATTTTGGAAGATTTCGCTTTTGAAATTCTGTCATAGATCACAGCCCAATGGACAAATTTTTACGCACTCCATGGTGCTGTTAGTTGTTGTGGTCCATTATACAGCTAAATATAATCCAATGGTCATCCAAAATGCTAGATCTCTTTCCTGACCTTAAATCTATTCTCATGCTAAATTCCTTGTCGATTGGTTTCAATTGTGTGATCAGGAAATTTTTCTGCTTTTGGTTCAATTGAACCTCCAGAAGCAAGAGGCCTCTCTGTATCTCCAAATTTAGACTCATCTATATGATTTGATTGTTTACGATATTTGGCTATATTCGTCAACGAAAAAAAAACCCAGAAGTTCGCCTTTTGTATATTTTGGATATCGCCTGTAAATAATGCTGGTATTTTTTTTACAAAAAAGTAGTGGTCCTTTCTTCCGGCAATCCTTAACTCTAACTTCATGTGAGATCTCGTGTTCTATGGTTTCTATTTGTGACCTTCATAATGGCTGCTAAATCAGCAACATGTTTAGTTCTTGGTTCATTTCAACCCCAAAATCTTTGACATCTTTGAAAGCAATAGGCCTAGCCCTTCTGAGCCTAACCCTACCCTTGTGACAATTTTCGTGAGGATCGGACGATAACAGCAATCTTTATATAATAACCCTGACCTGTGTTGGTAGGTGAAAAAATATTACAAAATATTCACTTCAATATAAAATAATAATAAAAAATAAAAAAAAAATATTACAGTCAAAATGAAAAATCGCATGCGATAAAAAATATGAAAAAATAAAAAAATGGCAAAAGACTACAAAATCTATATTAACATCATTGTTGCCATATTTTATGCGATTTTTTTCAGATTTTATCCTTTTATGCCAAGAGGGCATTCTGAATTGACAACATTTGTCAAAATCGGTCCAGCCATTCTTGAGATATAAGAATTTTAACAAACATTCCCTTCCTTTGTATATACACATTGTATATATTTCGCTATATATATCCGATATATTTACTATCGGCATATACGTAACGATCAGAATTGATTTTTCCGTCTATTTGTGATTTCGCCGGTATTAAAAATATTCGCGGTTTAATGGAATATTTGACTTTTATTTAACACAAATGTTATGGTCTGTTTCACCCAGTAAATATTACCCGATGACCCTCAAAATTGAAAGACTTCAGCTCAGCCCTAAGCTCTAGCCCCATGTTATGTGTCGATTGGTCTATAATTGCTACCTGTAGAGCAAATACAAAATCTGTTCTGACCCTAGACCCCCCTCCATACTAAATTTCGTGAAGATCGGACCATAATTGCGACCTGTAGAGTGATTACAAATTAACATGGACAGACGGACGGACGAACATACATAGCTAGATCGACTCAGCTCGGCGAGATAGGTAGATCCATATATACTTTCCTATGTGGGAAACCAATATTTCACAGTGTTACATAATTTTTGGCCCAATCAAACTTATAATACCCCCAAACACATAGTGTATAAATACCTTTCATTAAATGTTCTCTCTGTTCGTAAAACACACCAAGTAAAAAAGCAGTAAGTTCGGCCGGGCCAAACCTTGAATACGCTCCACCATTTGGAACGAATTTGGAAATTCATTGCCAATTCTGTTAAAAGAACAGTGTTGGTTTGTTTCTTCGGGATACCATAGTATTTTATTGTTGCGAAATGTTCAGGCTTAATCCCATTATTGTTGTTTTTATAAATATAAATTTCTGTTAAAATTTAAAAAATACTGAATATAGCCATTATTTAGGGATCTATACGAAGACGTGGACATGCATAGAATCCTATTGTCATATGACATTACAATATTCAAATTTTAAACTTGAAACTTGAAACAAAAATCCCGTGAATAATGTAGCTAAACTCATCCAAATACCGAGAATAGGGAGGTATCGTTATATCGGGGCTATAGACAGACTTGGAGCTGCATAGATAATTTTCAGGCTGTAATACCTGCTAGCAATTTCAAACCACGAAATTTCAAACAATTTCGGTGAATATTGTACCTAAAATGATCAAAATACCGAAAATAAGGAGAAACTGATATATGGGGCCTATACGAAGACGTGGGCCTGCATACGCAAGTTTTTGTCATAGGCTGTAGTATGTATTACGAATTCTACATACGAAATTTGAAGCAACCCTGATGAATAATGTCCCTAAATTCTTCAAAATATCGAATATCGGGGGAACTGTTTTATGTGGGCTATACGATATCGTAGTATGAATTTTTAGACAATTCCATTGAAAATGAAGCTAAAGTCATCAAAATACCGAATATAGGGAGGTGGATTCTCAGACAAGTTCATTAAAAAATTTGGCTACAATCGTCAAAATACCAAATATCGGAGGATATCGTTGTATGGGGGCTATACGATATCGTGGACCGATATAGCCATCTTCGAACTTGACCTACCTGCAGACAAAAGACTAATCTGTGCAAAATTTTAGCTTCCTTTCTTTATTCATTTTGACTGTAGCGTGATTACAACGGAGGTACAGAAGGACAGACGAACGGGTCAAAAACATATGTAAAAATATAAACTTAATATACCCTCCATATTATATATGGTGAAGGGTATAAAAATTATCAACTTACGCCAAGACGAAACGGATGAAGCTAGAATATTGATTGGGTGGCTCTTAGTCCAAAGGTGTCAGATAAAGCAGTGTTTTGGATATTCGTTCTAGCTTTGTAACTCTACTTATGTAACATTGCGATGTAATATTTCAAAACACTAACAACATGTGTCTCCTACTTATAGTTCTACCCTAAAAATCTAGTCGATTTTTTCAGTAATTATTTTGTGTATTGTACAATGTTTTGTCTCTGAACGAAAGAATATCGAAAACTCAACATTATTTAAAAACTTTTTTAATTTCGTTTTTTTTTTTTTATTTTCCAGCTTTTATATCTTCCAACTTCGCTGCAAATATACACTACACACTATACAACAGTCGATTCGGGGTGTTGGATATTCCGAGTGGATTTGAAAACAAGTAAAAAAGCAGTAAGTTCGGCCGGGCCGAACTTTGAATACCCTCCACCATATGGAACGAATTAGAAAATTTTCAAAAAAATAAAATCCAATAAAAATTCTTTTAAAATCTTTAAAATATCTAATATAGGAAGGTGCCGATATATGGGGAGATATACGATATTGTGGACCTATAAAGACAAATCTATGTCTGCGTGTAAAGTACTCACAAGGAACTCCGTGTGTGGATTTTCAGACAATACGATTGGAAAATGTGGCTAAAATCATCAAAATACCGAATATCGCGGGGTACCGTTATATGGGAGCTATACGTTATCGTTAACCTATATAGAGAATTCTCTGTCGGTGTGTAAAGTGCTCACAAAGAACCCCTTGTGTACAAAGAACCCCTTGTGACCATTCCGTTGAAAAACATGGCTAAAAACATCAAAATACCGAATATCGGGGGTACCGTTATATGAGGGCTATACAATATCGTGGATCTATATAGATAATTCTCTGCCGAGGTATAAAGTACCCACAAGGAACTTCTTGTGTGGATTTTCAGACAATTCCGATGAAAAGTGTGGGTCAAATCATAAAATACCGAATATAGGGAGGTACCGTTATATGGGGGATATACGATATCGTGGACCTGTATAGACAATTCTCTCTCAGGGGGTGAAGTACTCACAAGGAACTACTTGTGTTGATTTTAAGACAATTCCATTGAAAAGCGCGGCTAACATCATCAAAATACCGAATATCGGAGGTTACAGTTATATGGGGGATATACGATATCGTGGACTTATATAGACACTTCATTTTGAGGAGGTAAAATGCCCACAAGGGACTCCTTTTGTGGATTTTCAGACAATTCCGTTGAAAAATGTGGGTAAAATCATCAAAATACCAAATATCGGGGGTACCGTTATATGGGGGCTGTACGATATTGTTGACCTATATAGATAATTCTCTGCCGAGGTATAAAGTACCCACAAGGAAAAAAAAATGAAAAATGAAAAATGTGGGTAAAATCATCAAAATACCGAATATCGGGGGGTACCGTTACATGGGGGCTATACGAGATCGTGGACCTATATGGACAATTCTCTGCCGAGGTATAAAGTACCCACAAGGAACTCCTTGTGTGGATTTTCAGACAATTCCGTTAAAAAATGTGGGTAAAATCAGCAAAATACCGAATACCGTGGGGGTACCGTTATATGGGGGCTATACGATATTGTGGACCTATATAGATAATTCTCTGCCGAGGTATAAAGAACCCACAAGGAACTCCTTGTGTGGATTTTCAGACAATTCCGTTCAAAAATGTGGGTAAAATCATCAAAATACCGAATATCGGGGGGTACCGTTATATGGGGGCTATACGATATTGTGGACCTATATGGACAATTCTCTGCCGAGGTATAAAGTACCCACAAGGAACTCCTTGTGTGGATTTTCAGACAATTCCGTTGAAAAATGTGGGTAAAATCATCAAAATACCGAATATCGGGGGGTACCGTTATATGGGGGCTATACGATATTGTGGACCTATATTGATAATTCTCTGCCGAGGTATAAGGTACCCACAAGGAACTCCTTGTGTGGATTTTCAGACAATTCCGTTGAAAAATGTGGGTAAAATCATCAAAATACCAATATCGGGGGGCACCGTTATATGGGGGCTATACGATATTGTGAACCTATATAGATAATTCTCTGCCGAGGTATAAAGAACCCACAAGGAACTCCTTGTGTGGATTTTCAGACAATTCCGTTCAAAAATGTGGGTAAAATCATCAAAATACCGAATATCGTACCGTTACATGGGGGCTATACGATATTGTGGACCTATATGAACAATTCTCTGCCGAGGTATAAAGTACCCACAAGGAACTCCTTGTGTGGATTTTCAGACAATTCCGATGAAAAATGTGGGTAAAATCATCAAAATACCGAATATCGGGGGGTACCGTTATATGGGGGCTATACGATATTGTGGACCTATATTGATAATTCTCTGCCGAGGTATAAGGTACCCACAAGGAACTCCTTGTGTGGATTTTCAGACAATTCCGTTGAAAAATGTGGGTAAAATCATCAAAATACCAATATCGGGGGGTACCGTTATATGGGGGCTATACGATATTGTGAACCTATATAGATAATTCTCTGCCGAGGTATAAAGAACCCACAAGGAACTCCTTGTGTGGATTTTCAGACAATTCCGTTCAAAAATGTGGGTAAAATCATCAAAATACCGAATATCGGGGGGTACCGTTATATGGGGGCTATACGATATTGTGGACCTATATGAACAATTCTCTGCCGAGGTATAAAGTACCCACAAGGAACTCCTTGTGTGGATTTTCAGACAATTCCGATGAAAAATGTGGGTAAAATCATCAAAATACCGAATATCGGGGGGTACCGTTATATGGGGGCTATACGATATCGTGGACCGATATAGCCCATCTTCGAACTTGACCTGCCTGCAGACAAAAGAGAGATCTGTGCAAAATTTTAGCTTCCTATCTTAATTCGTTTAGACTGTAGCGTGATTACAACAGACGGACAGACGGACAGACGGACGGACAGGGCTAAATCGTCTTAGAATTTTACGCTGATCAAGAATATATATACTTTGTTGGGTCTAAAATGATTATTTCGATGAGTTACAAACGGAATGACAAACTTAATATACCCTCCATACCTTTTTTGGTGGAGGGTATAAAAAAAATGATTAAAGTTCTCCAGTAAAATTTGTCAGGGCTTTAAAATTTTCAAATTTTATGCACGAAAAATGCTTGCGATTAACTTTTCGCAAAAGCCCAGGTTGAGGTTTGGTAAAGTTATGTTGAATTGTACACGGATTGTGCTCATTTGTGCAGTTAATATTTTTCCAATATCGAATTTGGTAAGAGATATCGAATAAAAATTTAAAGGCACAAGTGAGCACAAACCGAGTAGAATTCCACCTTTCCAAATTCGAAAAATGCAATTCCAACGGAAACCACATGTAATATTCCGAATGAAAGGTTAGAAATGGTATGCCAAAATTGTATTAAACGGATGAAGCATTTGAGACTGCCGGGGTGAACATTTGCATGAAATAATCTTCAAACATTAATATTTGCAACGAATTTTATTTATTTTTTATTATTATTATTTTTATTATTATTATTATTATAATTATTATTTTTATTTATTTATTTATTATTATTATTATTATTATTATTATTATTATTATTATTATTATTATTATTATTATTATTATTATTATTATTATTATTACATTATTATATATAGTAATAATAATAATAATAATAATAATAATAATAATAATAATAATAATAATAATAATAATAATAATAATAATAATAATAATAATAATAATAATAATAATAATAATAATAATAATAATAATAATAATAATAATAATAATAATAATAATAATAATAATAATAATAATAATAATAATAATAATAATAATTATTATTATTATTATTATTATTATTATTATATATATATATATATATATATATATATATATATATATATATATATATATATATATATATATATATATATACATTTTTTTTTTTTTAGCTCTTAAAAATGACAATAACAATTTTCTTTTTCAAAACGGCCAAAAATATTATTTTACTTTTGTATAAAATATGACTTTGAATAATTTTACTATTGTTTTTCAAATAAATTCGAAGAAGCGATAAAAAAAAAATAAAAAAATATAGTATTTCAGTACATTACATAGCGTAAATTATTAAATGTCCAGTCTATATTACGCACTTCAGAACTTTTGTCCATATCAAGTTCGTGTAGTACAAATGTTCAATTAATCGTTGGCACATGTTAGGCATCTTTGATAATCTCATTCAAACCGGCTGGATACAACACCCCTTTTATTTGTTTTGTTATTTTGTTTCCAAATCGCGGCAAATCCCATCTTTGATACTCATAATTTGTGTATTGTTTATGTTTTGATGTGATTGTTTGTCTCCCAAAGATTTAAGTGCGTAGCTAAATAATGTGATTCAAGCTTCTGGGAATTGCTCAAGATTGGGTCCAACAAAATTTTGTGTTAAATTTAATCTTCATAATTTAACCGCAAACGTTTCAAAACAAACACATCATAAAATTTCGAAAAAAAAGAAATGATTGTGCGGTTTAGAGGTCAGCAGCTTGTGAGGCGATAAGAAGTCCATAACCTATAATACTTGGAATCCAAACCAAATTTTATTATTTTGATTATTTATTTTTATTTGATTCTATTTTTTCAAAATGTATAAAAACAGCTAATATTTATGTTTTTGACATTATAAACAAATTACTAAGCAAACTATAAAGTTATTACTAAAGAAATCTTCAAGTTTCTATTAAATCAACTAAAATGGCAAAATTCTTTGTAAGTCACAAAAACGAAAATTAATTTCAGAGGCGAATTCCTTAATATTTTTTTTTTTCACTTTGGTGTAGATGATTGTTTTCTGCGCCTTGTTCGCTCTGGCTGTGGCCCAGCGTGGTGGAGGATATGGCGGACAACAGGGCCATGGACAACAAGGTGGCTTCGGTGCCCAGCAAGGTGCCGGATTCGGTGGACAACAGGGACATGGTAAACATGGCCACCAAGGTGGTTTAGGAGGACAGCAGGGTCAACATGGTGGTTTTGGAGGTCAGCAAGGCCAACATGGCCAACATGGTCAACATGGTAGTTTCGGAGGACAACAAGGCCAAGGTCAGCATGGTGGCTTTGGAGGACAAGGTCAACATGGCCAGCACGGTGGTCGCGGTCAGCAAGGCGGTTACGGCAGTCGTGGCTATTAATTTAAGACACTTATGTATGAAAACAGACTGAATCCCTAGCCTCCAAATAAATTTATTCTTAACTTATAGATGAAGACTATTATTGCCTCTATGCTTAAGGTATTAGCATAACAGATTTATTACGTCAACTGGGATTAATCGTTACCAGATCCCTGGAACGATCGTTTATCTACATTTGAAAACTTAAGCCAGATATGAATATTAACAGAGGCCAATATTGGAATACATTTGGTTCTCGAAGATAGTATCCGATTATTATCACACTTGGCATAATGTAATAGTTCTACAAACAAATGATCGAGTGAGGAAATGCGATATATCGGCCCTCTCCAACAAGGGGTCAAAATTTTAAATAGTTGAAGGTCTCAGAAATTCAGTATAAATACAGGGTGAGATGAAAAAAACTGCAATCAATTTCAGACTACTGCCATTTCTAAGCCGACTGCTGTTAAAATTATTCCAGTGACAGCTCATTATATTGTTTACAGGCGTACTAAAGCATATTGGTGAGAATTTTCCAGGAAAAAAGTTATTCGAAATGGAATTGAAGCGTGATAGTGGGATTTCTTTATATTTGGCTGGAAAACCACAAGTGGCTATCGCTAGAGCACTCCAAAATTTAAATGTCATTAAATCATTTGTGTCTCGTACCATCACTCGTTACCGTGATAGCGTACCCCGACGACAAGGAAGTGGACGGAAGAAAACACTAACATTAGCAGAAATGGTTCGAAAAGTGGCCGAAAAAAGGCTCGTGAACTAAGCATATCGCTCGTGAACTAAACATAAACATTCGGCAAATATTAAAAAATGAGCTCGGGGTAAAGCCATTGAAATTCCAATAACTGCAAGAACTTACATCGCAACAGAAAGAAAACAGACTCAAAAGAGCTAAAGAGTTGTTTCGACCTTGGCATCGGAATAAATGGCGAATATTATCGCGAAAATATTCTGGAGGGTGTATTAAAGCCTTGGCCACGCAAACATTTTGGCCGCAGGCCTTGGACATTCAAACAGGACTCAGCACCCTTGCATTCAGTACGCGCCACCCAAGAATGGTTGCAAAATGAGATAAAAATACCGCAGAGCAACATTCGGGCAGCGTGTGAGGGTTTCATTGGCCCTTTGAAGGCCATAACTCGTGCCAAAGGTAACCAATTCGACCACATATAAACTTTTTCTAAAATTTGATGCTATTTCCGACATTTTTTGCTTTCATTCAATAAAATTTAAAAATAAAAAATGTAAAAATTATGGCGTTTGACTTTGTTTCAGTATATCGAAACAACCAAATGTCCACCCGTTTTCTGTAAACCCAGACGCCCTCCAAGAAGCAAGTACATTAAATGTGGAGAAAATCGGTTCAGATATAGCTATAGCTCCCTTATATATATTTCATCCGATTTTGTGTTTAAGTCACTCACATTCGTAATATGCATTCGACATCAATGATATTTGTACCAGATATCTTATAAAGCTCGAAAATACCTTTGCCAAATGTTATTGAGGACTGCTAAGATTTGGATATAGCTCCAATATATATCCTTAACCCGATTTCAGATTTATTGTACAAATAATGGCTAATATCAGCCTAAATGGAGTGGATTATGGGGTGTATTCCCCCGCCCGACTTTTGACTTTTCGTTGCGGTTTTTGTTGTATTGAATGATGATCGTTTATGATAATTACGTATGATTTTCTGTACATTACCCTAAATTTGAAGAAAATCAGACGTGAAATTCCCATATTACGATAGTATTTAAAAGTTCGATCTTTTGTGGGGAAGGAATTCGAGGTAGTGGTCCAATAAATTTCGCACTTGGCCAAACTCTTACAAATATTGGCCATTCTCACAACTGACCTAAATCTTATGTAAATATTACGATGTGAGAAGATGGTATATTTTGACCTATATTTCCCATTTCCGAACTCGTTCTTACTTCGTTTAAAAATAATACTCAACAAATACTATATTTAAGTTAATTTAGTGGGAATAATTTGAAAAAAATGCTTAAGATTTTGTAAATACAATTTTCAAACCTCTGTCATTCATTTTCATCATTAAATCCGCAACAATTTCATACATCATTAAATTCAAATCAATCTAATACAGTTTTACCTCGCTCCTTTGAAAACACATTTAACACACTTCAAACGTCAAACGTCAAAGTGTTGCTAAGAAAACATAAGGTGTGGTGTTCTTATTGCATTTTTAATCATTTTAGTTTGCCGCAATTACATTAAATTTGTCTTAAGTAAATATTCACAATCATATATGTATGTAGAACGTGTGCCCAAACACATATGAAGGGCTCACAGCTATACCGAACTAAGTCATAAAAACATAATTCGAAGATATTTAGAGGTAAAGTAGATGCACTGTCATTAATTTCTGGAAGGAATATTTTAGTCTACCAAAAGAAAATGTAAATGTCTATATTCAAAATTAATTAATGATATTAATTTAAAATAAAAATAATTTAAATATATTACTAAAAAAATATTCAAAAACAAAAAAGTTTACTTTAGTTCATTATTACTATGAATAAAATTTCAAGGTTTCACAGCTAAAGCGAACCAAGTCAAAAAAATAAAATAAAGTGTTCATTATATGGCTAAATATAGTAAACTTTAGCGATTAATTTCCCACTAGTTTCGGAGTTTTATTTTAAGTCATGTCTTGGTTTGGCTGCGGGTGCTTCTATTGTAATTGATAATCATTGTGATTTTTAGGAAAATAAAATAAATTCATTTAAAAAAAAATAAATTAATGTTAACGAGGACAAAGGATAATTAAAAGTTTCAACTATGGTAGAAATAAGAGGGTAAATTCATGCAATTATATGTTTACATTTTTATACCCTTCACCATAGTATGGAGGGTATATTACGTTTGTAATTCCTTGATCTTGATCAGCATAAAATTCTATTCTATTTAGCGTCCGGCTGTCCGTCTGTGGAAATCACTCTAGCATCCAAACGAAATGAAGTAAGTTGATAAAAATTTACTCAAATGTGCATTATGTCTGCAGGACTTTTGGTATTGAAAATGGACCATGTAGGTCCACGTCTTCGTATAGCCCCATATAACGGTATCTCCCGATATGCGGTACTATTACCGGAAATATTTCAAATTTTGTATTTGAAGTTCGTAATGAATACTACAGCCTATGACTGCAAATTGTCTGTGCAGGTTCACATCTTCGTATCGCCCCTAATATGCGGCTACATTCGGTATTTTTAAGATTTAAACAAAATTTTTAATGGATTTTAATTTTATGAAAATTGCCAAATTTGTACCAAATGGTGGAGGGTATTCAAACATGGCAGAAGAATACAGGTAGATGCATCAACGCTTAGGAGCATTGATATGTCAAAAATTTTTAAATGTTCTTTAAAATATAAGTAGATTTTAATATGTTTTCTTATACGACGTCATTCGGAGGTTATTATAATTCTTGTTTTTCAACAATTTTTGCAAATTTAAGTAATTTTTCATTCAACATTTTCAATTCCAAAATTGGTTTGACAGTTCATTGTCCCAGCAGCTGTGTCGATGCGTCTACCTATCTTTTTCTACCATGGTATTCAAAGTTCGGGCGGCCGAACTTACAGCTTTTTTACTTGTTTTTTTTTTTCAAAGTTATGCATTAGACAACATCTCATTGTCAAAATATATATTTATATAAATCCATTGTACATACCAATCAGAGATGGGAACCTGCTTTCTAGGCAGGGACATTTGACAGAGTAAATTACACAAAATGCAGAGATGGATATGCTTATTTGAAATGACTTTACCTTCTTAATTTTACCATGGTTTCAACAAATATTTACTCATAAAAAATCGTCATTTCCGTCTTCATCATTTTTGGGGCTGGCAAATATTCCTCATCTTCATTTCTGGAAAATCACTAGCACTGCTGTTATTACTATCCATTTATAGAAAACACTGATTTTTTTTAATATTGCTGAAAACTGAACGACAATAAACACGTGCTCACTAATAGTACTGATTCAAAGTGAACCAGTAAGGAAAGCTCAAAAGTCGGACGGGGCCGACTATATGATACCCTACACCACTATGCATATTTAGTAGAGCTCTCGTAAAAAGGTTTATACAAGGCATTTCAGAGCTCTATGAGATATTTGGTACAAAATCAAAATCTATCTAATCCTATCGTGCATTTTACGAACTATAGCTATCTCTGAACCGGGTTTCTCTAAATTTGACGTATTAGCTTCTAGACTGAATTCGGTCTTATGTACGAAAATTAAGGTGATTTGGGCTGATATTGGCCATTTGGTGCACAATTAACACGAAATCGGATGAAGATATATATGGGAGGCATATCCAAATCGGAACAGATTTTAATAGAATTAAAATCAACTGTTTTTGGGCTTTATCTGATATCTGGTACCAAATATCATTTCTGTGGAGTGCATATTACGAATGTGAGAGACTTAAAGACCAAATCGGATGAAAGATATATATGGGAGCTATAGCTATATCTGCACCGATTTTTACTAAAATTGGTGTACTTGCTTCTAAGCTGGTTTCGGTCGGATTTGCCAAAATTGATGCTATTACGGCCATTTGGTGGTCAATCACCCGAAATCGGATGAAGATATATATGGGAGCTATATCCAAATCTGAACCGATTTCGATAAAATTTAAAACAGCTATTTCTGTGCTCCATCTAATACCTGGTAACAAATATCACGGTTGTGGAGTGCATAGTAGGAATATGAGGGACTTAAAGATCAAATCGGATGAAAGATATATATGGGAGCTATAGCTATATCTGAACCGATTTTCTCCAAATTTGATAAACTTGCTTCTAGGCCGAACTCGGTTGTTTGTGCCAAAATTCAGGTAATTTGGACTGATAGTGGACATTTGGTGCACATTTAACCCGAAATCGGATGAAGATATATATGGGAGCTATATCCAAATCTGAACCGATTTCGATAAAATTTAAAACAGCTATTTCTGTGCTCCATCTAATACCTGGTACCAAATATCGCGGTTGTGGAGTGCATAGTAGGAATGTGAGGGACTTAAAGAT